CAACTTGTCCTACAACCTTGTCCTACAACCCTACCTACAAACTGTCCTCATTCAACCTGTCCTACAACCTGTCCTCCTACAACCTGTCCTCCTACAACCTGTCCTACAACCTGTCCTACAACTTGTCCTACAACCTGTCCACCTACAACCCGACCGACAACCTGTCCTTCAACCTGTCCTCCTACAACCTGTCCTCCTACAACCTGTCCTCCTACAACCTGTCCTACAACCTGTCCTACAACCTGTCCTACAACCTGTCCTACAACCTGTCCTCCTACAACCTGTCCTACAACCTGTCCTATAACCTGTCCCCCTACAACCTGTCCTACAACCTGTCCTACAACCTGACCTACAACCTGTCCTACAACCTGTCCCCTTACAACCTGTCCTCCAACAACCTGTCCTACAACCCGTACTCCTACAACCTGTCCTACAACCTGTCCTCCTACAACCTGTCCTCCTACAACATGTCCTCCTACAACCTGTCCTCTTGCAACCTGTCCTACTGCAACCTGTCCTCCTACAACCTGTCCTCCTGCAACCTGTCCTCCTGCAACCTGTCCTCCTGCAACCTGTCCTCCTGCAACCTGTCCCCCTACAACCTGTCCTACAACCTGTCCTACAACCTATCCTACAACTTGTCTTCCTACAACCTGTCCTCCTACAACCCGACTTACAACCTGTCCTACAACCTTTCCTCCTACAACCTGTCCTCCAACAATCTGTCCTCCTGCAACCTGTCCTCCTGCAACCTGTCCTCCTGCAACCTGTCCTCCAGCAACCTGTCCTCCTGCAACCTGTCCTCCTACAACATGTCCTCCTGCAACCTGTCCTCCTGCAACCTGTCCTCCTACAACCTGTCCTCCTACAATCTGTCCTCCTGCAACCTGTCCTCCTACAACCTGTCCTACTACCTGTCCTCCTGCAACCTGTCCTCCTGTAACCTGTCCTCCTACAACCTGTCCTCCTACAACATGTCCTCCTGCAACCTGTCCTACATCCCGTCCCTCTACAACCTGTCGTCTTACAACCTGTCCACCTACAACCCGACCTACAACCTGTCCTACAACCTGTCCTCCTACAACCTGTCCTCTTGCAACCTGTCCCATGCAACCTGTCCTGCAACCTGTCCGCCTACAACCTGTCCTCCTGCAACATGTCCTCCTACAACATGTCCTCCTACAACCTGTCTTCCTGCAACCTATCCGCCTGCAATGTGTCCTACAACCTGTCCTCCTACAATCTGTCCTCCTACAACCTGTCCTCCTTTAACCTGTCCTCCTTCAACCTGTCCTAAAACCTGTCCTCCTACAACCTGTCCTACAACCTGTCCTACAACCCGTTCTCCTACAACCCGTCTCCTACAACCCGACTTACAACCCGTCCCCCTAAAACCTGTCCTCCTACAACCTGTCCTACAACCCGTCCCCCTACAACCGGTCCTCCTTCAACCTGTCCTACAACGTGTCCTCCTGCAACTTGTCCTACAACCTTGTCCTCCTACAACCCGACCTACAATCTGTCCTCATACAACCTGTCCTAAAACCTGTCCTCCTACAACCTGTCCTACAACCTGTCCTCCTACAACCTGTCCTCCTACAACCTGTCCTACAACCTGTCCTCCTACAACCTGTCCTACAACTTGTCCTACAACCTGTCCACCTACAACCCGACCTACAACCTGTCCTACAACCTGTCCTCCTACAACTTGTCCTCCTACAACCTGTCCTCCTACAACCTGTCCTACAACCCGACCTACAACCTGTCCTACAACCTGTCCTACAACCTGACCTACAACCTGTCCTACAACCTGTCCTCCTACAACCTGTCCTACAACCTGTCCTACAACCCGACCTACAAACTGTCCTCCTACAACCTGTCCCCCTACAACCTGTCCTACAACCTGTCCTACAACCTGTCCCCCTACAACCTGTCCCCCTACAACCTGTCCTACAACCTGTCCTCCTACAACCTGTCCTACAACCTGACATACAACCTGTCCTACAACCTGTCCTCCTACAACCTGTCCTACAACCTGTCCTACAACCCGACCTACAAACTGTCCTCCTACAACCTGTCCCCCTACAACCTGTCCTACAACCTGTCCTACAACCTGTCCTCCTGCAACCTGTCCTCCTGCAACCTGTCCTCCTACAACCTGTCCTCCTACAACCTGTCCTCCTACAACCTGTCCTCCTGCAACCTGTCCTCCTACAACCTGTCCTCCTACAACCTGTCCTCCTGCAACCTGTCCTCCTGCAACCTGTCCTCCTGCAACCTGTCCTCCTGCAACCTGTCCTCCTGCAACCTGTCCTCCTGCAACCTGTCCTCCTACAACCTGTCCTCCTGCAACCTGTCCTCCTACAACCTGTCCTCCTACAACCTGTCCTCCTGCAACCTGTCCTCCTGCAACCTGTCCTCCTACAACCTGTCCTCCTACAACCTGTCCTCCTGCAACCTGTCCTCCTGCAACCTGTCCTCCTACAACCTGTCCTCCTGCAACCTGTCCTCCTGCAACCTGTCCTCCTACAACCTGTCCTCCTGCAACCTGTCCTCCTACAACCTGTCCTCCTACAACCTGTCCTCCTGCAACCTGTCCTCCTGCAACCTGTCCTCCTGCAACCTATCCTCCTACAACCTGTCCTCCTACAACCTGTCCTCCTGCAACCTGTCCTCCTGCAACCTGTCCTCCTACAACCTGTCCTCCTACAACCTGTCCTCCTGCAACCTGTCCTCCTGCAACCTGTCCTCCTACAACCTGTCCTCCTGCAACCTGTCCTCCTGCAACCTGTCCTCCTACAACCTGTCCTCCTGCAACCTGTCCTCCTGCAACCTGTCCTCCTACAACCTGTCCTCCTGCAACCTGTCCTCCTACCAAGAACGTCACATTTCGCTCGTATGCGTTACATAAGGCCAAAAATTGTCGTACTAGAAAATGGAAGCGGCTGGCGAAAGTGACGTACTGTCCCGTTTTCTGTTTTGGGTCCTCTGGTAGGTTAGGAGAAGGACACTTTACATTACCCGTTTTCTTGACGTTAGTAAACCTTAGTAGGCCAGACTGCTTAGTGGACGACGGCAAGATGGGGGGGGGGGGAATTAACTATTAATAAGAACACTGGTTAATGTGAACACACAAATTAGCAACATGGTTCGCTCGTCTGATATTCATAGTCAGTTAACATGATAATTGTGTGACCGTGCTACTTGCTCCACTTCTGTGCCAGGTAAGTCCACTCCGGGCTCACCATAGCCCGTGCTACTTGCTCCACTTCTGTGCTAGGTAAGTCAACTCCGGGCTCACCATAGCCCGTGCTACTTGCCCCACTCCTGTGCCAGGTAAGTCCACTACGGGCTCACCATAGCCCGTGCTACTTGCCCCGCTCCTATGCCAGGTAAGTCCACTACGGGCTCACCATAGCCCGTGCTACTTGCCCCGCTCCTATGCCAGGTAAGTCCACTACGGGCTCACCATAGCCCGTGCTACTTGACCCGCTCCTGTGCCAGGTAAGTCCACTACGGGCTCACCATAGCCTGTGCTACTTGCCCCGCTCCTGTGCCAGGTAAGTCCACTACGGGCTCACCATAGCCAGTGCTACTTGCCCCGCTCCTGTGCCAGGTAGGTCCACTACGGGCTCACCATAGCCAGTGCTACTTGCCCCGCTCCTGTGCCAGGTAAGTCCACTACGGGCTCACCATAGCCCGTGCTACTTGCCCCGCTCCTGTGCCAGGTAAGTCCACTACGGGCTCACCATAGCCCGTGCTACTTGCCCCGTTCCTGTGCCAGGTAAGTCCACTACGGGCTCACCATAGCCAGTGCTACTTGCCCCGCTCCTGTGCCAGGTAAGTCCACTTCGGGCTCACCATAGCCCGTGCTACTTGCCCCGCTCCTGTGCCAGGTAAGTCCACTACGGGCTCACCATAGCCAGTGCTACTTGCCCCGCTCCTGTGCCAGGTAAGTCCACTTCGGGCTCACCATAGCCCGTGCTACTTGCCCCGCTCCTGTGCCAGGTAAGTCCACTACGGGCTCACCATAGCCAGTGCTACTTGCCCCGCTCCTGTGCCAGGTAAGTCCACTTCGGGCTCACCATAGCCCGTGCTACTTGCCCCGCTCCTGTGCCAGGTAAGTCCACTTCGGGCTCACCATAGCCCGTGCTACTTGCCCCGCTCCTGTGCCAGGTAAGTCCACTACGGGCTCACCATAGCCCGTGCTACTTGCCCCGCTCCTGTGCCAGGTAAGTCCACTACGGGCTCACCATAGCCAGTGCTACTTGCCCCGCTCCTGTGCCAGGTAAGTCCACTACGGGCTCACCATAGCCCGTGCTACTTGCCCCGCTCCTGTGCCAGGTAAGTCCACTACGGGCTCACCATAGCCCGTGCTACTTGCCCCGCTCCTGTGCCAGGTAAGTCCACTACGGGCTCACCATAGCCCGTGCTACTTGCCCCGCTCCTGTGCCAGGTAAGTCCACTACGGGCTCACCATAGCGCGTGCTACTTGCCCCGCTCCTGTGCCAGGCAAGTCCACTGCGGGCTCACCATAGCCCGTGCTACCTGCAAATATTTGCTCCAGTTGCTGAATCTCAATCAACAACAAACCACCAATGTTCCACCATCGTCGTCCTGCTTCCCACTTAGCAACACTTTATGTAGTAGTTATTGCGTTATATTTACGACTGTGACGCGAGCCTTACGTATGACTCTGTGGTAACATTTTATGTCATTTAAATAATTCCTGGAACAGTGCAAAACATTATTTATGAATTAGTAATTTATGGATTGTTGCGTATAATATTCATACACAATGTGCTGCAGTATTCTGCAAGGTGCTAGCAGAACACAACACCCGCTAGCCTGGTGCTAGCAGAACACAACACAACACCAACTAGCCTGGTGCTAGCAGAACACAACACCCACTAGCCTGGTGCTAGCAGAACACAACACAACACCAACTAGCCTGGTGCTAGCAGAACACAACACAACACCAACTAGCCTGGTGCTAGCAGAACACAACACAACAACACAACAACTAGTCTGGTGCTAGCAGAACAGAACACAACACCAACTAGCCTGGTGCTAGCAGAACAGAACACAACACCAACTAGCCTGGTGCTAGCAGAACACAACACAACACCAACTAGCCTGGTGCTAGCAGAACACAACACAACAACTAGTCTGGTGCTAGCAGAACAGAACACAACACCAACTAGCCTGGTGCTAGCAGAACACAACACAACACCAACTAGCCTGGTGCTAGCAGAACACAACACAACACCCACTAGTCTGGTGCTAGCAGAACAGAACACAACACCAACTAGCCTGGTGCTAGCAGAACACAACACAACACCAACTAGCCTGGTGCTAGCAGAACACAACACAACAACTAGTCTGGTGCTAGCAGAACAGAACACAACACCCACTAGTCTGGTGCTAGCAGAACAGAACACAACACCTACTAGTCTGGTGCTAGCAGAACAGAACCCAACACCAACTAGCCTGGTGCAAGCAGAACAGAACACAACACCAACTAGCCTGGTGCTAGCAGAACACAACACAACAACTAGTCTGGTGCTAGCAGAACAGAACACAACAACTAGCCTGGTGCTAGCAGAACAGAACACAACACCAACTAGCCTGGTGCTAGCAGAACACAACACAACAACTAGTCTGGTGCCAGCAGAACAGAACCCAACACCAACTAGCCTGGTGCTAGCAGAACAGAACACAACACCAACTAGCCTGGTGCTTGCAGAACAGAACACAACACCAACTAGCCTGGTGCTAGTAGAACAGAACACAACACCAACTAGCCTGGTGCTAGCAGAACACAACACAACACCAACTAGCCTGGTGCTAGCAGAACAGAACACAACACCAACTAGCCTGGTGCTAGCAGAACAGAACACAACACCAACTAGCCTGGTGCTAATAGAACAGAACACAACACCAACTAGCCTGGTGCTAGCAGAACAGAACACAACACCAACTAGCCTGGTGCTAGCAGAACACAACACAACACCAACTAGCCTGGTGCTAGTAGAACAGAACACAACACCAACTAGCCTGGTGCTAGCAGAACATCACCTATAGGTCATGCAACAATTGTTACTTAACAGAGCAATTATCAATGAGCAACGGAGCGGCGACATCACTAATGCTCAAGGGCCAGATTCACGAAGCAGTTACGCAAGCACTTACGAACCTGTACATCTTTCTGCAATCTTTGGCGGCTTTGTTTACAATTAATAAACAGTTAATGAGCTCCGAAGCACCAGGAGGCTGTTTATAACAATAACAACAATTGATTGGCAAGTTTTCATGCTTGTAAACTGTTTAATAAATGTAACCAAAGCCGTCAAAGATTGGGGAAAGATGTACATGTTCGTAAGTACTTGCGTAACTGCTTCGTGAATTTGGACCTTGACCATTATTTTGATTAGAATTGCAACCAACAGCAATAAAAGAGGATTGTATCCACATCTCACTGAATGTTGCTCACGTTTAGCTAATTGTGCTTAACTGTAGCTGATGCGATGAGGCCTATTTTATCTATGCTGCAACAAAGCATGTGTCAAGTTTCAGTATAACAAAGTTTTAGCAAACGTTTCATTAAGTAATTCGGGTGTTATGCTATTTACTTAACCAATAATTGTGAAATTTTTTGGGTAAGACATCAATCATGCAACATCAACTGCTCTAAATTAACATCAATTTGCAATCAAACACTTCTCGACTCTCCTCCCTGGTCTTCAGACCAACATGTTGCTTTCACACTTTACAATTGTTGCCAATATACCAAACTTTCAACTCAATATACAACATTATATTGCTAGCACTAATATTCATCAAACCAATATTAATACTAATATTAATCCAACACTAATATTATTCAAACTAATATTAATTAATGAGTGATTAAATATTAATCACTGAAACTACTTGCAGTGAAATACATTTAGATAATCACTATGATATAAAAGTATTCTCAAGTTGGAAGATTAAAATTGGAACTAGACCTCTGGAACGTCCGGACAATACTCCTGGAGTCCGGACTACTCCTGGAGTCCGGACTTGAAGACATGATTGTGTCCAATGTGGACATGATCCAATATATCATGAGACAACTGACTGGCTGGTCCATCATTTCACATGTTGGCTCTGTTTCAGCGAGACTTGTGGCAGGGTATATTACCAGGACACTCGTCCGAGGCTCTAATTGTTCCACCAGGCTCGTGGAATAGATAATATATATATATATATATATATATATATATATATATATATATATATATATATATATATATATATATATATATAATGGAGCAATGAATGGAGCAACGTGAGTAGAGAGTTTGAAAGAGTAACTCAGGTATTGGTGAACAACGGATATAGCAACGCGGAAATAAACGCTGCTATAAGAAGACACTTGGACCGTTGGTATAATTCAGAACCCAGAACAGAAACCACAACACCCCCAATAAAATTATATTACAAATCAACCATGCACAGTGAACATATAAAAGAGGAAAGAATAATGAAAGAAATAATCCGTAAAGGAGTAAAAAGCACTACTCCTAACCAAAACATAAACCTGATAATATTCTACAAAACCAAGAAGACTTCCGAACTCCTTATCAAAAACAGCCCGAAGCCGACGGAGAACCCTCTACAGCAGTCAAGCGTTGTATACATGTACACTTGCCCCCACGAAGGATGTAACCTTCAATGTAAGTACATAGGTATGACGTCGACCAAGCTGACGAGGCGTTTGACATGCCATCTTCAATCTGGTGCCCCTAGGAATCACATGAGACAAGCCCATGACATTACTCTAACAAGAGAAATGTTGAACAAGAATACCTGCATAATAGACAAAACCCAAGATGCAAGAAGATTACAAATTCTTGAGGCAATTCACATAAGAATAGAGCGACCTACCATGAACACCCAAATCACGGAACTATTTACTCTACCCACCATGAGAGTAAGGACAAGACAAGAACATATCGATGCCAACACAGAAGACAATGTCCAACATAATAGGCCAATTACACTGGATTAATATATATATATATATATATATATATATATATATATATATATATATATATATATATATATATATATATATATATATATACATATATTTTGGTAGCAGTCTTTCCTGTAGACATATATTATTAAATATGACCGAAAAAGTAAGATTAATAATTCTAACACGAATTTTCTAAATATTTCTTATGTTTCTTTTCACTGTCGATGGTAATTGAAAAAACCAGATCATCACCAGAGAAGTCTTAACAAAAAACACATAAATCATCGATAGATACATCGATAGCAGGCGGCTTGACATCTGCGAGGCACTACACATTAAGAAGTCAACACCAGCAATCAACAGCCAATTAATGCACAACTATATTCTACCCACTTCAAGACTCCGCACCAATATAGAAGCATCAAGAAATATGGGTCAATAGGCCCTTGCAGTTACTTCCATTCTTCCCTTTAACTTACCCAATATTATACCCATTGTTTCGTGTTCTGTCTTGTGTTGAAAGTTTGTTTTCACCTCATCCAAAACTGTTGTAACATATCATCTCACCCAAATGTAGGTATAAAATGAAAGCTGTTTAAACTCTGTTTAGTGTTTGCAGGTTATAGTTGTGTGTGTGTAAACTAAAGTCTTTGAAAATGTAATAAGTTATTACGAAACGCGTTCAAGTGTCGCGTCAGACTAAAAATACAAAATTAATTTTGGAGAATTGATTTTTCAATTACCATCGACAGTGAAAAGAAACATAAGAAATATTGAGAAAATTCGTGTTAGAATTATTAATCTTTTTCGGTCATATTTAATAACAAATGTTTACAAGAAAGACTGCTACCAAAATATACTAATATATATATATATATATATATATATATATATATATATATATATATATATATATATATATACATATATATAAACAACCAAACTGGTGCTGGTATAACCAGGTATAACAAACACTTGGCCAAACTGATTCATATTTAGATCTCTCTCACTAGTATTTTCTACCTGAGAGTTCTTGAGAGAATTATACTATCCAGGTTAATGGCTCTTGCTCGTAGTGCGCACACACAGTACCCACACACACACAGTACCCACACACACACAGTACCCACACACACACAGTACCCACACACACACAGTACCCACACACACACAGCACCCACACACACACAGCACCCACACACACACAGTACCCACACTCACACAGTACCCACACACACAGTACCCACACACACACACAGTACCCACACACACACAGTACCCACACACACACAGTACCCACACACACACAGTACCCACACACACACAGTACCCACACACACAGTACCCACACACACACAGTACCCACACACACAGTACCCACACACACACAGTACCCACACACACACAGTACCCACACACACACAGTACCCACACACACACACAGCACCCACACTCACACACAGCACCCACACTCACACAGTACCCACACACACACAGTACCCACACACACACAGTACCCACACACACACACAGTACCCACACACACACACAGTACCCACACACAGTACCCACACACACACAGTACCCACACACACACAGTACCCACACACACACAGTACCCACACACACACAGCGCCCACACACACACAGTACCCACACTCACACAGTACCCACACACACACAGTACCCACACACACACAGTACCCACACACACACAGTACCCACACACACAGTACCCACACACACACAGCACCCACACACACACAGTACCCACACTCACACAGTACCCACACACACACAGTACCCACACACACACAGTACCCACACACACACAGTTCCCACACACACACACAGTACCCACACACACACAGTACCCACACACACACAGCACCCACACACACACAGTACCCACACACACTCAGTACCCACACTCACACAGTACCCACACACACACAGTACCCACACACACACACAGTACCCACGCACACACAGTACCCACACACACACAGTACCCACACACACACAGTACTCACACATACACAGAACCCACACACACACAGCACCCACACACACACACAGTACCCACACTCACACAGTACCCACACACACACAGTACCCACACACACACACACAGTACCCACACACACACAGTACCCACACACACAGTACCCACACACACACAGTACCCACACACACACAGCACCCACACACAGTTCCCCCATACACACACAGTACCCACACACACAGTACCCACACACACACAGTACCCACACACACACAGCACCCACACACAGTTCCCCCATACACACACAGTACCCACACACACAGTACTCACACACACACACAGTACCCACACACACACAGTACCCACACACACACAATACCCACACACACACAGTACCCACACACACACAGCACCCACACATAGTTCCCACACACAGTTCCCACACACAGTACACACACACAGTACCCACACACACACACACAGTTCCCACATGCTTCAATACTATACCCACACCTTCAAGCTTTACTCACGCACTTCCACGCTATACCTACAAGCTGTACCCACACAAAACCACTTGTGGGTTGTGGAACTACACCATCTGAGGGGCCTGTATACATCAGACAAATGCTTAGGGAACTGTCATTCCAGCAACAAGTTGAAATAACGGTCAACAAACAGCAGGCCGGCACTATCAACACACCTCGACATGGAACAACTATTTCTCCCAATTGCGTCAACATTAAAACCACATATTTTTATTTTTTAACTTAAATGCCTATGTTTACTTGAATTTTTAATGTAGCAATATTCGTCGTTAATCCCAATAGGCGTTGATGCTCTCACGATTCAGGAATATAACCGAATATACGAACCGATTTAGTCCATCAATAAATTAGTTGTTAATCTGATCTCGTTAGTGCCATCGCAGGCTGAGTTATATCTCGCTCGAACCCATAGTTGGCACTGATGCAAAGACCAGGAAGACCAAACTATGAGCAGAATTTCAACCAGCATCGGTAATTGTCCCTCGATCGCAATACAAGATAGATC